CAACAGTTTAGTTTACAAATATAGACAGCGTCTTTCTGAACTCCCTTTTCCTAGGCCCTGCTGTGTATGTGTCTCACTCACTTTGACTTAATGGAGATTTTCTAAGGAAATTACAGAAGCACCTGGCATTTGGCAGGCTTAAAACCAGCCCTGGCCAGCTGGAGTGAGGCTAGTCCCCTTGGATCCCCTGAAATGCTGGTGCTTCCATGTCCTAAATCCTTGAGAGCCACAGGAAATCAGTCATAAAGTTTTGGGATGTAGTGATGGGAGCAGGACACCCCCTCCTCACCCCAAAGAGAAAATACCTTGGCAAATACAGGAAGAACCCAATACTGGCTGGAAGACTCGCCACTGATCCCCAAGGCAGGTGTGCTTTCTTCTTGCCTGATGGTGCATTCTGTTCCACCCACGGATGCTTTCCCCCGGTTTAGTTCCTGCAAGTGAAGCTCCTAGCTCAGTTGCAGTGAGGATGAGGGCGTCCCTGCGAGACCCCAAAGGGCAGACGAGGGCTAGATCGTCCTGGAGAAAAGTGATGGACGTGGTGGCTAAGAATGGAAAACACCTCTTCATTAAAACATCTTAGAAACGCCGGAGAAAGAACGAGCGTATTTTCAGGCTCACGTCACTAGGCGGAGCTCTAACACAACGACAGAGCCAGGAAATCGTCAACATAATCAGCATCGCTGCTGGCTGAGTTGCGACATCCAACCGGAGGGAGAGCAGCTAAGGTGAAACGGAGTGAAAACCATCGAGTATTGCTAGAAAGGACGTCGAGGAGAGGACAAGGGCAGAGGAACTTCCTCTTCCGAGTCATCCACGGGAGGATGGAGAGATGTAGAGCGGCTGTCCTGCTCTTCCCAGGGACGAAGCAGCAGCTGGAAGGTGAGTGGAGGGCAGGTCGGAGGAGAGGGGGAGCAAGTAGATTTACCTGGTTGTAAATCTCCACGGTGTAAAAGCAGAGCAATCCACGGTGTAAAAGCAGAGCAATCAAGAAGGCTGAAACATGTCGTCTCCTTCTGTTTCCAAATGTTTTTGCACTTATGCTCCATGATTAAAACTTCTGCCTGTGATTTTCTGCTGGGAGATGGGAGATGACATGATAGCAGTATTCCAACGTCCCAATATTTGAGAGGCTGCCCCAAAGAAGAGGGAGTCAACTTGTTTTCCAAAGCAGCAGAAGGCAACATAAGGAACAGTGGGTGGAAAGGAATCAAGGAGAGAAGCAACCTGGAATTAAATTTCCTAACAGTGAGAACCATTTAACCGGTGGAACAGTTTCCCTCTAGAAGTTGTGGGTGCTTCATCCCTGGAGGTTTTTAAGAAGAGACTGGCAGCCAGTTGTCTGAAATGATACGGGGTCTCCTGCTTGAGCAGGGGGGTGGGCTACAATTCCTACAAGGTCCTTTCCAGCTCTATTCTGATTGATATACGTAGACATATGGAGGCAGAAATATGTAAATTCTTTTTATATATATATAAATATTTTATTAAATTTTGTAAGGGTAAAAAAGGATAGGATCAATATGGGAAAAAGGAGGGGTGTGGAATTTGGGGTAGGGTAGGGGTAAATCTAAGTATTAAATAAATCTAAGTATTAAATAACATTATCCATATCATAGTCAGCAATCATGCAATAAAGTTAACTGTAACCGTCATACTAAAATTGATAGACTTCTTTTAAATAGGTAAACAAAATTATTAAAATTATTAAAATCTCATTATCATCATTAGTACATTCTCAAATGATCATAATTATCACATCATTTAAACACACTAAAAATAACAATATTATTAATCTAAAATCTAAAACTTAGTTAAAAGTCCATCATTTACATATCCCTAACCATTGTTAATTTTTTTCCCAAGTTTTAAAATAAATTGAATCATCTTTCTCTTTAATCTCCAGTGTTAATCTATCCATTTCTGCACAATCTAAAATTTTAGTAATTATAGCTTGATCAGGTGGTAGATTTTCATTTTTCCAAAATTGGGAAATACTATTCTTGCAGCTGTTAAAACATGTAATATTAAATAATCATTCTCTTCACCATAATCAGATCTTATTATTCCTAGGAAAAGCAATTCCAGTTGAAATTCTATCTGTATTTTTGTCATCTTTTCCAGCCATGTATGAATTTTAAGCCAATATTTCTTTGCATTAGGGCATGTCCACCAGGTGTGATAATAAGTGCCTGGCAGTTGTTTACATTTCCAACAAATATTCAATACATTTTTAAACATTTTCACTAATCGAACTGGTGTCATATGCCATCTATAAAACATCTTATATAAATTTTCTTTATATGTTGCTGCCTTAGTAAGTCTAATGAAATATCTAAATTCTTAGGTGTCTATTTCTGTGGGCATATATGTGTGAATTTTATAAACGAATCAATATTTTAACTTGCATTTTGCTGGTCTTCTATATGCCAAGTCAATCATAAATAATGTTAATGTCATGGTTCCGATAGATCAGGGGTCTGCAACCGTAAACACTCCAAAGAGCCACTTGGATCTGTTTCCGAGAGAAAAGAAAACACTGGGAGCCGCAAAATTCTGGGAGCGCGCATACAAAGGGGGAGAGGTTGATTGAAGAGTTTAATTAAAAAGACATTGAGGTTGCTGTGCATGAGCGCTGTCTCTCTCCTCTCCCTCTTTCTCTCTTTCTTTCCTCTCCCTCTCTCTTTCTCTTTCCTCTTCTCTTTCTCTGTCTTTCCCTCTCTCTCTTTCCTCTCCCTCTTTCTCTTTCTCTCCCTCTTTCTCTCTCTTCCCTCTCTTTCTCTCTCTCTTTCTCTTTCCCCTTCTTTCTCTCTTCCTCTCCCTCTCTTTCCTCTCTCTTCTCTCCCTCTCTCTCTTCTCTCTTTCTCCCTTCTCTTTCTCTTTCTCTCTCCATCTCTCTCTTTCTCTTTCCTCTCCCTCTTTCCTCTCCCTTTTGCTTTTTCATTTTCTCTCTCTCCCTTTCTCTCTTTCTGTCCATTCATTCATTAATCCAGTCCGAGTGCCGACACGCGCCCACACACACCCATTTTTCTATCTTGCTCTTACGGGATCAAGAGGAGGAACCAGCCCGAACGGAATGGGATAAATGAACATGGCTACCTTAAAAGCCTGCTGCATCTCAGGCACTCCACCACACCTGACACACCACAGACATTTATACTGGCGTGTCTCTCCTGCCCTCTTCCCCCACTCAGTGTGTGTGTGTGTGTGTGTGTGTGTGTGTTAGAGAGAGAGAGAGAGAGAGAGGCACACCTGTGCTTCCCTTCTCTCCCTCCCTGTCGCGGTCCCGCCCTGAAGTCGCGCTTGGAAGCAGTTGCCCTGTTTTGGTTCCTGAGCAGCAGCAGTGACCGGCGTTCCCGCCCCCTCCCCCCCCATGAGCAATGGAGTTGAGCTATCTTGGCAAAGCAGACTCGCTGGGAACGTTACTGGTGGGGGTGGTGCCAGCAGCAAAGTTTTCCTCCACGCCATTCCCCCTTCAGACCCTTTGTGCCAAACCAAGCATCTACCCATCAAAGTCTTGAAAATGCTCATGGGATGGACTGGACACGTTTTGCGCCCCAAATAAGAGGGGGGCGTTCTTTGGGGGGGGGTTTGAATCCTTTGTAAAGCGCTTGCTTCAGTTCAACAACTCTCTCTTTCCCCACCCTACCCCACCTTGGCTCCTGACCCTGTCCAGCCTTTGAGCACTTGCAATTGCCGGGTAGTGCGATGCTGGGGGCAGGTTGAGCAATGAAAGCTCTTGAGGTACCGCCAGGACTGTCTTCCCACCCGCTCTAAACCTTGGTTTCCATTTTGCAAACCTTCCTTTGCTTTGCACCGGCACTCTCCATTCTAAATGGGGTGCTCAGTTGCTCCAGTGGAATTTGCACGTTTAATTCTAAGGGCTCGTTCCTGCCCCCTCCACCCCCAACCTCCCGCCCGCTTGTTGATTTATGGAAGCAAATTTACCATCCAAGAGACGGTAATCTGAAACTGAGCATCGTGTGTGTGTGTGTGTGTGTGTGTGTGTGTGTGTGTGTGTGAAAGAGAGAGACAGACAGGCACTTGCGCCTCTCTCTCTCTCTCTCTCTCTCTCTCTCTCTCTCTCTCTCTCTCTCTCTCTCTCTCTCATCTTCTGCTTACCTGGCCAGCCAGCCTCACACTCTTCTCCGACAAGCTGACACACCACGGACATTCTGATTGGGCTGGCTTTAAATCGGCGCTCCTCTCCTGCCCTTGCTGCATCTCCCTCTTCCTTCCCGGCAGCCGGGACTCTGGTATACCTTCCCGGCCAGTGGGGCCAACATTACCACCAACTGAGGATCGCAGGGCCTGCGCTTCCTCGGGGCTGTGGCTTGCAGGAGGGCTGACTCGCTCAGTGGAGGCTCCGGTGGGCCGCTCCCAGGAGGTATCCTGGGGTTGCCCCGTGCGGCTCCCCGGCCAGGTGCACCTGGGACAGGGCCAGCCTGGGAAAGGGACTTCCTGGCTGTGCTTTTATTCGGGGGTGGGGCACCCGGGCACCAGCTGGCCAGGTGAGCAGAAGATTGGGGGGAGAGAAAGAGAGAGAGAGAGAGATTGAAGCGAAGTGCCTCTCTCTGTCTGTGTCTCTCTGTCTGCAAATGGCGGAGGAGGACTGGAGCCTGGAGCCACAGGAGAAGTCTGAAAGAACCTCATGTGGCTCCAGAGCAGCAGGTTACCGACCCGTGCGATAGATGAAACCCATCAAGAGAACTTTGAGGCAAAATTCTTCCTTAAAGTACATTTATTCGGGATACAAAGTATCGGCCTACATAGTTGCACCCAAAAACTAAATGCCCTTTCCCCAGAGACAAAGTAACAAAGTACAACTCCCACCCCCAATTAACTGTCATAAATCACATTCCCCAATTAGCTTAAAGCAGGGCTTTTCAACCTTTTCACAGATTGTACCCCTTTTAGGACATGACAATATTTGAGTACCACCAGTGCTTGGCAAGGTGTCAAAAACTTGATGACTAAAAAAAAGGGGGGGGGGATTTTGGGTTTTACTTATTAGATTCATTTGTTGTTATAGAAATGGCTATTTTATAATATTATGGAAAAATAAACAGTTGAGCTTCAATGTTAATGCAGCTGCAGCTTCCTCTTCCTCAGTCTTCTTAGGCTCATTCCCGTCCCCTGCAACACTTGACTAGCAGCTGCGTACCACCTGCACGTGGCAAAGTACCACAGGTGGTTAGCGTACACTGGTTGAAAAGCCCTGGCTTAAAGCAGGGGCTTTCTCCACAGCCCACCAAAACGTTATCAACTTGTCCTTGGATTTCCACAGCAGTGTTATTATTATGGCTAGCTGAGCTTACATTCCAACCCCCCCCTCTCTGCTGCCCCTAATTTGTAAAAGAAGAAAAAGCATGTTAAAGGAATAGAGAAAATGGCTGCATTTTCATCAGTTGTCAGAGCGGAAACATCCTGCGTTAGCAGCATTGACAGAGGTTAAACTAGAATTTTGATGTTTTCATAGTAATATACATTATTTTTTGCTGCTTTCACACTTCCTATACCCATTTGTTAAACAATAATGAAACTAACCCATTAATATGAATTTTACACATAAAGAGGATGCCAAGAAGAGCACTCTGCACAACAGAGAATGAGAAGCAGCATTCAAATGCAAGACAAACCATCACCCAAAACCTTTTCTACTTCCTGCATGCAGTTTGAAAACTTTTCTTCTTTCTCATCAGAGAAAAGGGAGCAAATACTCAGAGTAGTTCCCTTATGGTTCATGGAAGGACCCATATAGGAGAGAAGCTCTATCCATTGACCCAATGTGACGAAAGATTTAGCATGAACACTAATATGGTAAGACACAAGAGGACTCACGCAGAAGAGAAAACATATGAGTGCTCAGATTGTGGGAAAGGTTTCGTAGCGTGGCCGCTGTCCAATCGCCGCGCTTCCTCTTAGGAGGGCAGCATCAGCTGCCAATGCAGCAGAGGGGAAGGCGAAAGGCAATCCCGCCCACCACATCAACCTGGCAGGGGTAGAGTGGGAACCCGAATGGTACCAAAAACAGTGCTCTGAGCCTCAGTGATATAATTTTAAGTGAAGAATTAAAAATATTGAGGACTACGTTGTTAAGCTAACAATTAGGCATAGAGAGTTTAGCAGCTTCTGTGATGTGAGGGCCATGTGCAGAGCGAATTGATTATAGTTGTGCTTGGGTACATCATACTAGCTAAGATGTGCCTGATTATTCTGAAATCATTGCAAACATCATGAACAAATCAATAAATTACAACAAAAAATAAGGGCAGAGGGGGATAGAGTTTGAACAATGGGAGATGTAATCGGGGCGGGGAATAATGTATTTGCTTTAGGTGCTTTGGATAGGTTGGGATGGTCCCTGCGAAACCCCAACGGACAGACGAGGGCTAGATGGTCCTGGAGAAAAGTTATGGATGTGGTCACTAAGAGAGGAAAACGGCTTTTAATTAAAACAGCTTAGAAATGCCAGAGACAGAGTAAGCGTATTTTCAGCCTTACGTCACTAGGTGGAGCTCTAACACAACAGCAGCTTCGGCGGTGGATGAGTTGCGTCATCCAACCGGAGGGAGAGGAGCTGAGGTGAAAGGCTTTAAAAGCACACAGTACTGCTAGAAAGGATGTCGAGGAGAGGGAAAGGGCAGAGGAACTTCCTCTTCCGATTGATCCTCTTCCGATTGATCCGTGGAGGGATGGAGGCGTGGGGGGGGGGCAGTTGAAGCAACAGCTGGAAGGTGAGTTGAGAGTTTAGAGGAGAAACCAGGAGCAAATAGAGCTGCCTTGTTTCCTCCGGGGTGTAAAAGCAGAGAAGCAACTAGGCTGAAACTTGTCGGCTGCTACTGTATAACATTTCTTTTTCCAAAAGTTATTACACTTACGCTGTATGATTTAAAACTTCTGCCTCTAGTTTTCTGCTGGGAGATGGGAGAAGCTAAAATTTAAAGGCCTGGAGACTAAACATAGGAAGAAAGGTTGCAGGATTTGGGTATGGCCAGTCTAGAGAAAAGAAGGATTGGGGGGGGGGGACATGATAGCATCGTTCCAATATTTGAGGGGTTGCCACAAAAAGGAGGGCATCAATTTATTTTCTAAAGCACCAGAAGGCAAGACAAGAAACATTGGACGGAAACTAATGAAGGAGAGAAGCAACCTGGAATTAAGGAGAAACTTCCTTACAGTGAGGAATAGAATAAAATAGAGCTGGAAGGGACCTTGGAGGTCTTCTAGTCCAGCCCCCTGCTCAAGCAGGAGAACCTACAACATCTCAGACAAGTTACTAGCCTCTTTTTAAAAATCTCCAGCGATGGAGCACCCACGATTTCTGGGGGCAAGCTATTCACTGTCAGGAAGTGTCTCCTTAGTTCCATGCTGCTTCTCTCTTTGATCAGTTTCCAACCATTGTTTCTCATCCTGCCCTCTGGTGCTTTAGGGAATAGTGTGAGCCCCTCTTCTTTGTGGCAGCCCCTCAAAACTGGAATACTGCTATCATGTCTCCCCTATTTCTTCTTTTATTTAGACTAGCCAAACTCATGTCCTGCCGCCGTTCTTCCTATGTTTTAATCTCGAGGCCTTTGATCATCTTAGTTGCTTTTCTTTGAATTTTTTCCAAACTGTCAACATCTATTTTGTGATATGGTGACCAAAATTGGCTGCAGTATTTCAGGTGTGGTCTTAGTAGGGTTTTATAAAGTGGTACTAATATGTCGCGTGATCTTGATTCCATGCTTCTGTTTATACCAACCCAGGATTAGCTAATGCTGCACACTGGCTTTTTTGGCTAATGCTGCACCCTGATCGTCCACTAGAACTCCAAGGTCCCTCTCATAGTTACTGTTTTTAAGCCAGGTTTTGCCCAATCTCTACTTGTACCTTTGATTTTTTCTTTGCTTTTCTCCACATTGAAACTCATTTTGTTGGATAGGGCCCATTGTTCAAGTTTGTCAAGATCTTTTTGGATCCTGAGTTTGTCTTCTAGGGTGTTGGCTACTCCTGCCAGATTGGTGTCATCTGCAAATTTGATGAGTTCCCCTTCAATTCCCTCATCTAAGTCATTGATGAAATATTGAAGAGTACTGGGCCTAAGACGGAACCTTGTGATACCCCACTGCTCACCTCTCTCCATGTGGATGTAGTGCCATTGAGGACTACTGGTTGAGTACGTTTTGCCAGACAGCTACAGATCCATCTGGTGGTGATGTTGCCTCCAGAGGTTCTAGGTGCTTCATCAGTGGAGGTTTTTAAAAAGAAACTGGGCAGCCACTTGTCTGAAATGGTATAGAGTCTCCGGCTTGAGAAGGGGGTTGGGCTAGAAGATCTACAAGGTTCCTTCCAGCTCTATTCTAATTGATGTACGGATTCGTATGCACACAGATATAACATAAACCTTAGGTGTCTATTTCTGTGGGCATATGTATTGATATATATGTGATCTATCCCAGCCAAAAGAATTTTATAATTGAATCAATATTTGAATTTGGATTTTGCTAGTCTTCTATCTACCAAATGAATCATAAATAATGTTAGGAGTTAAACTAGAATTTTGATGTTTTATTGCTAATATAAGGTTTTTCTTTTTCCTGCTTTCGCATGTCCTGCACCCATTTGTTAAACAATAATGAAACTGACTCGTTAATATGAATCTTACAGACAAAGAGGATCCCAAGAAGAACACTCTGGACCACAGAGAATGAGAAGCAGCTTTAAAATGCAAGACAAAGCATCAGTCAAAACCTTTTCTGCTTTCTCCAGAAATTTTGAAAACTCTTCTCCTGTCTCACCTGATGAGAGACAAGGGAGAGAATAACAAGAACAAAGTTTTGAGGTGGAAAAAATAGAGCATGTGCAACTAAAGGGAACATGACGTAAGAAGTCAAGGGGGAGAATATCAAAATTGTTAAAAAAGTGGACATAACTGGAAGTCAGTGGGAAGGAAGAGGTTCCTTGGATAGCTAAAATGGACAAGCTTTAATTAAACCCTTTCAGGAAGACTTGACTTGACTCAAACAACCTCCAAGTAAGAGATCAGAAACATTTTAGTAGTGATGGAAAACCCCCACAAACTGCCTAATGTGGGAAAAATAGAGGTTGCGGATCACAGCTGATTATGCAGGAGATGATCCACCTAGTGAAAATGATACAAATGTTTGGAGTGCAACAAAAACTTTACTCAGAGTAGCTCCCTTATGGGTCATGGAAGGACCCATATAGGAGAGAAGCTCTGTCAGATGACCCAATGTGACGAAAGATTTAGCATGAACACTAATATGGTAAGACACAAGAGGACTCACACAGAAGAGAAACCATATGAGTGCCCAGATTGTGGGAAAGGTTTCAGTCACAATTCAAACCTGGTGATACACCAGAAGACTCACATAGGAGAAAAACCATATGAGTGCCCAGATTGTGGGAAAGGTTTCAGTCGGAATTCCCTCCTGGTGATACACCAGAGGACTCACACAGGAGAGAAGCCATATGAGTGTCCGGAATGTGGGAAAAGTTTCAGTCAGATATACAACCTGGTGACACACCAGAGGACTCACACAGGAGAGAAGCCATATGAGTGTCCGGAGTGTGGGAAAGATTTCTCTTCGAAATTTGTTCTTGTGAACCATCAAAGGACTCACACAGGAGAAAAACCATATAAATGTCGTCATTGTGGGAAAAGTTTTAGTCAGAATTCTTACCTGGTGAAACATCAGAGGATTCACACAGGAGAAAAACCCTATGAGTGTTCGGATTGTGGGGAAAGTTTCACTCAGAATTCCAACCTGGTGACACACCGGAGGACTCACACAGGAGAGAAACCCTATGAGTGTCCGGAGTGTGGGAAAAGTTTCAGTCAGCATTCCAACTTGGTGACACACCAGAGGACTCACACAGGAGAAAAACACTATGAGTGTTCGGATTGTGGGAAAGGTTTTAGTCAGAATTCCTACCTGGTGCAACACCAGAGGACTCACACAGGAGAGAAACCATATAAATGTCATTGTGGGAAAAGTTTTAGTCAGAATTCCCACCTGGTGAGTCACCAGAGGACTCACACGGGAGAGAAACCCTATGAGTGTCCAGATTGTGGGAAAGGTTTCTTTTGGAAATATGACCTGGTTAGACATCAGAGCACTCACACAGGAGAGAAACCATATAAATGTCGTCATTGTGGGGAACGTTTTAGTCAGAATTCTGTCCTGGTGAAACACCAGAAAACTCACACAGCAGAGAAACCCTATGAGTGTCCAGATTGTGGGAAAGATTTCTCTTGTAAATCTAAACTGGTTAGACACCAGAGGACCCACACAGGAGAGAAACCATATAAATGTCCTCATTGTGGAAAAGGTTTCAGTCAGAATTCCAACCTGGTGACACACCAGAGGACCCACACAGGAGAAAAACCTTATGAGTGCCCAGATTGTGGGAGAGATTTCAGTAGTAGGTATAAACTTTTAAATCATGTAAAGTGACACAGCACAGTAACCATTCAAATGCCCAGATTATAGACAGTGTTCCTCTGAATTTTGTTTCTTGTCTGTTACTGGAAACCTAGCTGAGAAATTAATTTCTTGCATGATTCTTTTTAGTCAAGCGTGTTTTATTAAACATGAGGGAAGAAATCTCAGCTTGCTTTGTCTGGGCCAGTGCAGTCGTTCCCTTTCACGGAGCCATGATGAACTGTTGTTCTGAGCCAGAGAAAGCGAGCTTAGATCTGTATTAGGTATCTTTGCCACCTTGAGTTATTTCTACATATAATCGTGGGGTATGTATCTTTATTTGTTAAGAAAATGTATGTGGCACCCCAACTCCGAAATGCTATAGGGTTACCTGCCTGAGAAGGGGGTTGGACAATGACTTCCAAGGTCCCTTCCAACTTTTTTTATTATTATTATTATTATTATTATTATTATTATTATTATCATCATCATCATCATCATCCAGCAACTTGCAAATGGGCAGCCTCAGCGGGAACATTTTTCAGATTCATCTCTTTTTCCTCTGATTTATTTAAAATACTTATATAGCCATCCATATAATAACAAATTCTGGCCAGCTGCCAGTCAATAGTTCTTAAAAAAACATATTAAAACCATTTTGTTCTTCTCTGTCCATGATTGTTTGAGGAACTCTTTTTTTTTAACTTATTCTCCCGTTAATACAAGGGACAGGAAGGCCAGAGCTTCTTACAGAATTTGTCTGTTTAGTAATCCAAAAGATTTGTAGTTGTAATAGACATAACTAAGGAAGTCTAATCAGCCTCCATTTCATTGATTTTGTACAAGTACTTACCGTGTTTCCCCAAAAATACAACCTACCCAGAAAATAAGATCTAGCTTGATTTTGGGGGTTGGGCCTAATATAAGCCCTCCCCTCCCCCAAATAAGCCCTACTTAAGACCCAGCCCATTCTGTCCCACCGTAGGTTTTTTGGCAGGCCGGATCCCGTGCCTCCCACCCCCCTGCCTTGACTACTGCCAGTGCAGCCACTGCGAGGCAACCTGAACATTAAGAGAGCCGGGGCCTAAGGCAAGCAGAGGCTGCCACCTTTCTATCCCTGCCCTGGACTGGGGAATCCAGCAGGCAGGCAGGGGTGGGGACTGGCAGGGGCCTCAACCAGCAGCTTCTGTCTTTTACCCTCACCCGGAAGCAGCCTCCAGAGGGGCCTGCACTACCCTGCAGGCTTTGCCGCCTTTCTCTTCCTCTGCGGAAGGGCGGGAAAGAAAGCTGGGCGTCCAGAGACATCCCACTCTGGGATGTGACTCAGGTTTCCCTCGGTGGGGGAGGAAGGCTTTGGAAACTGCCTTTTCATTTACATTCATCATCAGTACTGTAATCCGCCGGTTCGCAGCGTCTCTAGTCACACGAGGAGACTTGTCTCCTCGTCGGCTAACTTTCCCTCCGCCGACAGACCCTTATGCGGGTCCAAAATAGCCCTGGAGGGTGTGACTTCTGTCGAGGAGGCTCTGCTCGGTAGCTGAGGAGCGACGGCTCTCTCAGCTGTCCAAGCCATCTCTGAGGGCCGACGGAGAAGAAGATCGGCCAGTAAAATAGCTGATCATTCTGCTGCTTCAAACCGCAAGTCAAAGAACATCTAAGCTGTAAGAACCCCCATGATGAATCCGGGTGAGACTTTTCTTTGTTATTCTCTCTATTCTATTTTGTTTTTGCTACCTGAAAGAGCCTTTTTGGAATTATTTCCCTGGCTTGAAAAGGCAGCTTCTACATTTTTCTGGGAAGAAAAGCTTGTTCTATAAAAATAGAACAAAATTCTAAAGAATTTTTATATTTTTGTATATTTTTTTCTAAGAACTGTACTATCATCCTATGCTGGAAGATTATTTCTTTTTCACATTATACTTTTTAAAAAAAGAAAAAGGGAAATGTAGTTTGGAAAAGACCTTTTTTAACTTACTGAGGACATCTAGTGGCAAAAATGTAATACTGCAGCCTTTGGTTACTTGGTTTGAAGACAGCTGACCTTCAAGATACTTTTGAAGAGGAGATAAGCTGGGGAACTGTGGGGGTGGATATTGCGTAAATTATATTAAATATAGCCTCCACAAAAAAGAAAAAAGACTCTTTTTAATTACTATCAAAATGGAGAAACCTCAGTCACATTTAAACTGTACACTTATATTGGAAAAGATCTATGAGGCTACTGCAGAAATATGTGCTACAATGAAAAAGTTTACTACAGAACTAAGATCTAGGGATTTCACTTCAAATGTTCAAATGGACGTCCAGGCTATATCTGACTATGATATAAATCAAAATATATTAGAAGAGGAATTAATAGAGATAAAAGAGGAACTTATTCTATCTTACAAACCTTTCATCTGCAACTTTGAGGAACAGAAGAAGCAAAGACTGACATTTCAAACTACAAAGCAACGATGCATCAAGGAGGAGAGTATCTGCAACTTAGAGGAACTGAAGAAGCCAAGACTGAGACTTCAAACTACAAAGCAACGACCCTTCAAGGAGGAGAGATACAGACGTCTAATGCAGAGGATGAGATTGTTATTATTGCAAAGGCTACTGCAAGCAACAAAGACAGATCTACTGGCTGAAAAGGAAGCATCCCTATGGAAACCTACTGGGCACAGGAAAAAAGCCAGAATTAGACTGAAAAGAGAAATTTAAAATTGTGTAATGAATTTAAAGGCAATGTTTGATTTATGGTTTGTTTTAAGGATTATGATTTAGAGTTAGAAGCAATAAAAAATATAAACATATATATGTGAGGGTGATTTTTAGAAAAGATATTTTAAATAGATTAAGAATACTTTTTGGAATAACAGATTTATTTGATGAAAATTATGTGTTGGAATAGAAAAAATGTTGATTTTTTAGATTGGGATGGTTTTAATAATGGAGTGTTTTAACTTAGATGATTTTTTTTGTACAATAACATAGATGTGATAAGATATGACAATTAATTGGATGAAATTTGAAGTTTCTGTAATGAATTGAAGTGAATTAACATTTTTTAATTAAGATAGCTATTGTGTAATGGAAGAAGACATAAATGAGATTGGTGATAAAAAGAGGGATGAGAGAAATTAAGAACTAGAATATATCTGGAAGGGATACCTGAATTGATAACTTGTTGAGTTAAAGTGAAATTTGATTTTGATAATTGTAAACTGATAAATTTTTAAAACAGGTTTAGTAGTAATAGAAATTTAATTTAGAAATGGAATATTTTAAACGTATTATGTTATTTGAGGGAAATAGAGAGGAGACAGTGAATGTATTGAGTTGTTTATTCATTTTTTTTACTTTGGAATGTCTGATTACCCAAACACCACAGTGTGTCCTGAGTACTTTTTCTTAAAAATTAAAAAAAACAATAAAATATTTTCAAAAAAAAAATGATTTGGATTTACCATCATTAGCCCCCTTGATCGCCAAAGGGAAGGCGCGGTGTGAACTCTGCATACGAGCCGCAGAAATACAGGCACTCACGCCCTCAAAGTTCATGCCGCTTCCTCACTCGAGGCGCACCACTGCTCAACATGAGCATTCAAATTTGTGGCTCAGCTAAGCTCTTCAGCTGGGGCGTGCCACATTTCCCATCAGCTTCAGGAAGCCTGGGCGATGGAAACCTCAGGCAAAGCTCCTCGCAGTTGAAGCAATCCGCTTCTGCTGGGGTCAAGTTGGCCCATCCCTGTCCTCCAGCTCTGTCGGACATGCGGGACAAGACTCCCACAACAGCCAGCCTGAGCGAGGCGGATTGCTCACAGGGAGAGGTTGCACGTTGCAGCAGGACGACTGCAAAGGGCGTGCACAGATCTCTGTGGCTCCTGGAAGCTCCAAGTGCTGTTTTTGGCGCTGTGCCTCTGTACGAGTCTACCTTGCTGTTTTTGGCAGCATGACGTGGAGAACATGGCTGAGGTTTGGGTGATGGCCTGTTCCCATTTGTAGCATGGCTGCTGTCCAATCACCATGCCGCCTCTTAAGAGGACAGCATCAGCTGCCAATGCAGCGGCGGGGAAGGCGAAAGGCAATCCCGCCCACTTGTTCAGCCTGGCGGGGGTGGGGTGGGAAACTGAGTGGCACCAGAACCAGCACTCTGAGCCTCAAAGTGATAGAATGTTCTTAAGTGAAGAATTAAAAATATTAAGGACTACGTTGTTAAGCTAACAATTAGAAATAGAGAGTTTAGCAGCTTCTGTGATGTGAGGGCTATGTGCAGAGCGAATTGATTATAGTTGTTGTGCTTGGGTAGATCATACTAGCTAAGATGTACCTGATTATTCTGAAATCATTGCAAACATCATGAACAAATAAATACATTACAACAAAAGGCTAGGGCCAGAGGAAAGGATGGTTGGAATCCCTTGAAAGGACTCAATGATTGGATCCCTAACTTGGCCGGGTGGGTAAAACCATTAGTAATGTTGGGAATTTGAATATTAATAATTAGAATGATAAATGGTTGTTTGCAGTGTAGATCAATAATAACGGTTTGTTGTAAAGACTATGATTGGATGGAAAATGAAAGATGAGAGCGAAGATGTTGGAAAAATGTTGCAACAATTTGAGAAATAAAAATGTAAAAATCAATAGAAAGTATGGAAAGAAAAAGGAGGGATTTTGGGGGGAAACGCCTATTGTTTTTACAGAACTGTAAGAAGACCTGCTAGCCTGTAAAGAAAATACATTGCACATATTTCTAATTTCATGAGCCTACCTGAAGCTTGAGAATTGTATGTAGGAAGGCCTTTGCTAGGCTGGAAACCCGTTTTAACCAGAATTTGCTGATACAATAGTTACTCTGGAGCAGGAGTAGGCAACCTTGGCTCTTTTATGACTCATGGACTTCAACTCCCAGAACTGGCTCAGGAGTCATAAAGGAGCCAAGGTTGCCTATTCCTGCTGTAGAGACAACCTGCCTAGGAACTAATAGCCATAAAAGGTAATTTGTAAATAAGGGCAGAGTGGGATAGAATTCGAACAATGGGAGATGTAATCGGGGCGGCGAATAATGTATTCGCTTTAGGCGCTTTGGATAGGTTGGGATGGTCCCTGCGAAACCCCAAAGGACAGACGAGGGCTAGATGGTCCTGGAGAAAAGTTATGGATGTGGTCACTAAGAGAGGAAAAAGGGTCTTAATTAAAACATCTTAGAAACGCCAGAGACAGAGTGAGCGTATTTTCAGCCTTACGTCACTAGGTGGAGCTGTAACATAACATTAGCGGCTGGAAAACAGTCAATCTAACAGCAGCGTCGCCGGTGGATGAGTTGCGTCATCCAACCGGAGGGAGAGGAGCTAAGGTCAAACGGAGTGAAAACCATCGAGTATTGCTAGAAAGGATGTCGAGGGGAGGACAAGGGCTGAGGAACTTCCTCTTCCGAATTATCCACGGGAGGATAGACACATGTAGAGCGGCTCTCGTACTCTTCCTAGGGTCGAAGGAGCATCTGGAAGGTGAGCTGAGAGTTCGGAGGAGAAACTAGGAGCAAATAGAGCTGCCTTGTTTCCTCCGGGGTGTAAAAGCAGAGAAGCAACTAGGCTGAAACATGTCGGCTGCTACTATATACCGTTTCTTTTTCCAAACGTTATTACACTTAACGCTGTATGATTTAAAACTTCTGCCTCTAGTTTTCTGCTGGGAGATGGGCAAAGCTAAAATTTAAAGGCTTGGAGACTAAACATATGAAGAAAGGTTGCAGGATTTGGGTATGGCCAGTCTAGAGAAAAGAAGGATTGGGGGGGGGGACATGATAGCAGTGTTCCAATATTTGAGGGGTTGCCACAAAGAGGAGGGGGTCAATTTGTTTTCTAAAGCACCAGAAGGCAAGACAAGAAACAATGGATGGAAGCTAATCAAGGAGAGAAGCAACCTGGAATTAAGGAGAAACTTCCTAAAAGTGACAATAGAATAGACTGGAAGGAACCTTGGAGGTCTTCTAGTCCAGCCCCCTGCTCAAGCAGGAGAACCTATAACATCTCCAACAAGTTACTAGCCTGTTTTTAAAAATCTCCAGTGATGGAGCACCCACGATTTCTGGGGGCAAGCTATTCACTGTCAGGAAGTGTCTCCTTAGTTCCAGGTTGCTTCTCTCTTTGATCAGTTTCCAACCATTGTTTCTCGTTCTGCCCTCTGGTGCTTTGGAGAATAGCGTGACCCCCTCTTCTTTATGGCAGCCCCTCAAATACTGGAATACTGCTATCATGTCTCCCCTATTTCTTCTTTTATTTAGACTAGCCAAACCCATGTCCTGCCGCCATTCTTCCTATGTTTTAATCTCGAGGCCTTTGATCATCTTAGTTGCTTTTCTCTGATTTTTTTCCAAACTGTCAACATCTTTTTTGTCATATGGTGACCAAAATTGGCTGCAGTATTTTCAGAGACGTAAGTGGCAATTAGATGGTGAACCAATTGAAGAGGTTAACACCTTTGTATATCTGGCCGAAACAAGACTGGATCTTTGGTTTGCCATCATCAACGAAGTACATTTAGAGCAAAAGCCCGCCTGAATCTATTGCTTAAACTAAAGAAACATAGTTACCCAGGGTCCTTAGCCCCATTAATTAAGTATATAAAGCTAAGGTTACCACTATGCTCTTGTATGGAGCAGAAGGTTGGGGTCTTTACTCAACCACAGTCTTACAACAAACACAGTCCCAGCATTTGAGATGTATTCTGGGTTTAGATCCAAGAACATCTGCTGTAGCAGTTAGAGTTGAATTGGGAATTCATACAATTCATGCTCCATCCAGAATTAGAGCTTATAACTACTGGTGCAAAGTCAATGAAATGGAGACTGATAGACTCCCCAAGTTATGTCTATTAGAGCAAATAAAATTACAGTCACAAATCTCCTGGATCACCAAACCAACAAATTTTGTAAGAAGCTGTGGTCTTCCTGTCTCTTGTGTAATAGGAGAACAATTCAAAAAAGGAGCTGCCCAAAGAATTAAGGATATAGAAGCACAAAATGATATAGTGATCCTTAGTAAGGTGGGTAACTTGAAATGGCTGAGTAAATACAAACATACTTTCAAGTAGACAGCTATTTGAAGTTACAACTGCCAAAACACCTTAGGGAGATATTTACGTGAGCGAAATTCGAACAGCTTGACACAATGGTCAGATATGGGAGATTCCATTCTATACCTTACAATGAGCATCTCTGCATTTGCGGAGCAGCAGAGGTAGAAGACCTGGCTCACATACTATTTGATTGTTACCTATAAAAGAGGGTGACAGACAGGTACCTCTGTCTATATACCAAACGAATGACTCATTGGGATCCCCATATCAAAACAACTTACCTTATGTGCGGCCAGAACTTGAAAATAACATTTAACGCAGTATTTAAAATGGTTTGGTTGAGATCTGCATATGTGGGACTGACTGACTGGGGTAGATTGCAAGGATGACTGCAAGATATAATTTTATCATATTTTATCTATGTTTTAAATTACTGTACTCTATTTTAATTTTATTTTAGATTGTATTTTACTCCAATTTCATTTTAAGTCGTATTTTTCTCTAGTTCCATTTTAAACTGTGTTTTATCAAATTTCATTTTAAATTGCTTTTATCAAACTTTAGTAATAATTTGTTCCTGGAACTTTGCACTTTGATATGGCCCAAGGGCTAATCAATAAAGATTTATTATTATTATTATTATTATTTGTGATATTTTAGGTGTGGCCTTACTAGGGTTTTATAAAGTGGTACTAATACCTTGTGTGATCTTGATTCTATGCCTCTGTTTATACAACCCAGGATTAGCTAATGCTGCACACGGCTGGCTTTTTTGGCTAATGCTGCACACTGCTGGCTCATGGTTAAGTGATCATTCACTAGGACTCCAAGGTCCCTCTCATAGTTATTCTTTTTAAGCCAGGTTTTGCCCAATCTCTACTTGTACCTTTGATTTTTCCTGCCTAAATGTAAAACTTTGCTTTTCTCCACATTGAAACTCATTTTGTTGGATAGGGTCCATTGTTCAGCTTTGTCAAGATCTTTTTGGATCCTGAGTTTGTCTTCTGGAGTGTTGGCTACTCCTACCGGTTTGGTGTCATCTGCAAATTTGTTGAGTTCCCTCATCTAAGTCATTGATGAAGATATTGAAGAGTACTTGGCCTAAGGCAGAACCTTGTGATACCCCACTGCTTACTTCTCTTCATGTGGATGTAGTGCCCTTGAGGATTACTCGTTGAGTACGTTTTGCCAGCCAGCTACAGATGCATCTGGTGGTAATGTTGCCTCCAGAAGTTGTAGGTGCTTCATTGGTGGAGGTTTTTAAGAAGAGACTGGGCAGCCATTTGTCTCCGGCTTGAGCAGGGGGTTGGGTTAGAAGATCTACAAGGTCCCTTCCATCTCTATTCTAACTGATGTACAGACTCGTATGCACACAGACATACATCAATCTTAGGTGTCTATTTCTGTGGGCATGTGTGTTCAGCCTTCCATCCTTCCAGGGTAGGTAAAATGAGGACCCAGATTGTTGGGGGCAATGTAAATATATATATATATTGCTTACTGGTGTACACCGCTTAGAGAGTGCTTGCACTTAAAGCGGTATATAAGTCTCATAAATAAATAAATACATGTGTGATCTATCCAAGCCAAAAGAATGTTATAATTGAATCAATATTTGAATTTGGATTTTGCTAGTCTTCTATATGCCAAATGAATCATAAATAACGTTAGGAGTTAAACTAGAATTTTGATGTTTTATTGCTAATATAAGGTTTTTCTTTTTTCTGCTTTCACATGTCCTGCACCCATTTGTTAAACAATAATGAAACTGACCCATTAATATGAATCTTACAGACAAAGAGGATGCCAAGAAGAACACTCTGGACCACAGAGAATGAGAAGCAGCATTAAAATGCAAGACAAAGCATCAATCAAAACTTTTTCTGCTTCCTCCAGAAATTTTGAAAACTCTTCTCCTGTCTCACCTGGTGAGAGACAAGGGAGAGAATAACAAGAACAAAGTTTTGAGGTGGAAAAAATGGAGCACGTGCAACTCAAGGGGGATAATATCGAATTTTTTTAAAAAATGGAGATAACTGGAAGTCAGTGGGAAGGAAGAGGTCCCTTGGATAGCTAAAATGGACAAGCTTTAATTAAACCCTTTCAGGAAGACTTGACTTGACTCAAAGAACCTCCAAGTAAGAGATCAGAAACATTTTTGGCCTCCTCAAGAATCCAAAAATATCAGTGTTGAAAAAACCCCACAGACTGCCTAATGTGGGAAAAATAGAGGTTGCGAATCACAGCTGATTATGCAGGAGATGATCCACCCAGTGAAAGTGATACAAATGTTTGGAGTGCAGCAAAAGGTTTACTCAGAGTAGCTCCCTTATGGTTCTTGGAAGGACCCGTACTGGAGAGAAGCTCTACCAGACGATCCAGTGTGACAAGGATTTATCATGCACGCTAATATGGCAAGACACAAGAGGACTCACACAGGAGACAAACCATATGAGTGTCCTGATTGTGGGAAAGGTTTCATTTGGAATTCCCACCTGTTGAAACATCAGAGGATTCACACAGGAGAGAAGCCATATGAGTGTCCGGAGTGTGGGAAAAGTTTCAGTCAAATATACAACCTGGTGACACACCAGAGGACTCACACAGGAGAGAAACCCTATGAGTGTCCAGAGTGTGGGAAAAGTTTCAATCAGAATTCCCACTTGGTGACACACCAGAGGATTCACACAGGAGAGAAGCCGTATGAGTGTCCGGAGTGTGGCAAATGTTTCAGTCAGAGATACACCCTGATGATACACCAGAGAACTCACACAGGAGAGAAACCATATAAATACCATTGTGGAAAAAGTTTCAGTCAAAATTCCCCCCTGGTGACACACCAGAGGACTCACACAGGAGAGAAGCTATATGAGTGTCTGGAGTGTGGGAAAAGTTTCAGTCGGAAATACACCCTGGTGACACACCAGAGGACTCACACAGGAGAGAAACCCTATGAGTGTCCAGAGTGTGGGAAAGATTTCTCTTCGAAATCTGTCCTGGTGAACCATCAAAGGACTCACACAGGAGAGAAACCATATAAATGTCATTGTGGGAAAAGTTTTAGTAAGAATTACTACCTGGTGAACCATCAATGGACTCACACAGGAGAGAAACCATATAAATGTCATTGTGGGAAATGTTTTAGTAAGAATTACTACCTGGTGAACCATCAAAGGGTTCACACAGGAGAGAAACCATATAAATGTCATTGTGGGAAAAGTTTCAGTCAGAATTCCCACTTGGTAAAACACCAGAAGACTCACACAGGAGAGAAACCCTATGAGTGTCCAGAATGTGGGAAACGTTTCAGTCAGAATTCTTACCTGGTGACACACCAGAGGACTCACACAGGAGAGAAGCCATATGAGTGTCCGGAGTGTGGGAAAAGTTTCAGTCAGATAAGCCACCTGGTGACGCACCAGAGGACTCACACAGGAGAGAAACCCTATGAGTGTCCAGAATGTGGGAAAGATTTCTCTTCGAAATCTGTCCTGGTGAACCATCAAAGGACTCACACAGGAGAGATACCATATAAATGTCATTGTGGGAAAAGGTTTAGTAAGAATTACTACCTGGTGAACCATCAAAGGACTCACACAGGAGAGAAACCATATAAATGTCATTGTGGGGAAAGTTTCAGTCAGAATTCCCACCTGTTGACACACCATAGGACTCACACAGGAGAGAAGCCATATGAGTGTCCAGAGTGTGGGAAAAGTTTCACTCAGAGATACAACCTAGTGACACACCAGAGGACTCACACAGGAGAGAAACCCTATGAGTGTTCAGAGTGTGGGAAAGATTTCTCTTCGAAATCTGTCCTGGTGAACCATCAAAAGACTCACACAGGAGAGAAACCATATAAATGTCATTGTGGGAAAAGTTTTAGTAACAATTACTACCTGGTGAACCATCAAAGGACTCACACAGAAGAGAAACCATATAAATGTCATTGTGGGAAAAGTTTTATTCAGAATTCCTATCTGGTGAAACACCAGAGGACTCACACAGGAGAGAAGCCATATGAGTGTCCGGAGTGTGAGAAAAGTTTCAGTCAGAAATACAACCTAGTGACACACCAGAGGACTCACACAGGAGAGAAACCCTATGAGTGTTCAGAGTGTGGGAAAGATTTCTCTTCGAAATCTGTCCTGGTGAACCATCAAAGGACTCACACAGGAGAGAAACCATATAAATGTCATTGTGGGAAAAGTTTTAGTAAGAATTACTACCTGGTGAACCATCAAAGGACTCATACAGGAGAGAAACCATATAAATGTCATTGTGGGAAAAGTTTTAGTCAGAATTCCTATCTGGTGAAACACCAGAGGACTCACACAGGAGAGAAACCATATAAATGTTGTCATTGTAGGAAAAGTTTCAGTCAGAGTTCCCACCTGGTGACACACCAGAGGACTCACACAGGAGAGAAGCCATATGAATGTCCGGAGTGTGGGAGAGATTTCAGTAGTAGGTATAAACTTTTAAATCATGTAAAGTTACACATAGCAGAGTAACCATTCTAACGCCCAGATTATGGACAGTGTTTTGCAGTAAATTCCTCTTATTACAAAATAAATTCCACATGAGGAAAAATTTGATCTTGAATTTTGTTTCTTGTCTCTTACTAGCTGAGAAATTATTAATTTCTTGCATGATTCTTTTTAGTCAAGTGTATTTTATTAAATATGAGGGAAGAGATCTGAGCTTCCTTTGTCTAGCCCAGTGAAGTTGTTCGCTTTCACGGAGCCATGGTGAACTGTTGTGCTGGGCCAGAGAAAGCGAGCTTAGATCTGTATTAGGTATCTTTGCCACCTTGAGTTATTTCTACATATAATAAACGCGGGATATGTATCTTTGTTTCAGTCACCAACTCAAGGTGACTCCACCCGATTTACAGCAATGAAATCTTAATACAGAAACCAATAGACCCCATACATTGCAATGGCAAAATGCAAAGCCCCCACGGTTAACATTTACTTGCCCTATAAATAGAGGATACTTCAAGCAAGATTGATGGCATTTTGATGGTCTGGGAGTCCCAAAAAGGTGATTCTTGCTTTTGTTCAGTTTAGAAGTTAACCAGCCCTCCTGGCCTTACTAACTACCCATTGGGAGCCCCATATTAATACAACATATCTTATGTGCAGGCAGAATTTGAAAACAACGTTTAATATGGCACAGTACTTGAGTAAAATGGTTTGGCTGAGATCAGCATATGTGGGACTGATTGGGGTAGATACTGAAATATAATTCTATCTTATTTCACCTATCTATGTATCAAATGGTTGTATTTTACTCCAGTTTCATTTTAATTTGTTTTTAGAGGGTTTTATTAATGGTTATGTATTTATAATTCTGTATTCTGATATGGTCAATGGGCTAATTAATAAACTAAACTATTAAAACCAAATGCATATAAACAAAAACCTGGTTTCAATTCAGGCTTCTGATGTGCAGGTGTCTCTTCTTATCCCAGTGCTTAGGGGGAAAACTGGATCTTCCTTGCTTTACGGAAGACACAGAGGATAAAGGCCTGCCACATTTCAGGGGGAAGAGTGTTTATTTAAGGGAAGGGGCTAGGAGATTGCCCACCATATCTGACCTGGTAGAACAGATAGATGCAAAAATAATAAAGGTGGGACAATAAAGACAGGTGTCCTGTTGGCTCAGTGGTCAAAATTCAGTGTTGCTGGCTGTCTCTGCCCACAGTGTGGAATTCGATCCTGATGGGGCTCGAGGTTGACTCAGCCTTCCATCCTTCTGAGGTCTGTAAAAGGAGGACCTAGATTGTTGGGGAGAATATATTGACACTGTAAACTGAGAGTGCTATAAAGCGCTGTGGGGTGATATATATGTCTAACTGCTATAATAAAAAAATAGCTTTAAAGGTGATGACCAGCACCATCAATTGCACCTTAAAGAAATGGATTCAGTGCAGCTCACACAACAAAGTTTTTACGTGGGCAATCTAGGGACTTCTATTACTGTGTGTGCCATTGCGTTCTGAACCAGCTGAAGTTTCTTGGTGGCCCAGGGCAGTGATCCAAACAGGGGGGAACCACGGTATGAATGATCCACTTTGGAAGGCCTCCCTGGTCCAAGAAAGGACATAATTGGCTCACCAAAAGAATCTCTGCAAACCCCTCCCCCGGCCATCATCTTCTCAAGCAGGAACCGTGACTCCAGGGGGACCCCCAGGTAGGGCACCAGCTGAGTCCCCAAAGGTGAACACATCACCACACGACATTGAAACTCTCACAAATCTGAGTCAATTGGCAAGCATCCCTATTTCGATCATGTGGACAATGGCAATGCTGCAATGGTTGTAAGTGTGAAAAATGATTCCAGGTCACTTTTTTTAGTGCTGTCATGACTTCATGAATGTTCGCTACATGAAGTCTAGGACTACCTGTACATAATTTGGTATCGTAAGATGGACAGCCTTCGGTAGCCATTTCACGTCAATGTTAAAAAGCAGCAGTGAAAGGCTTGAGCAGAGGGCGAGTTGAGGTTCCAGGCTGCCAACCTCTCATTCCCCTCTTCAGCTGCACTTAGAAAAGATCTTAATCTGCAGCAATGTCTTGAAATCCTCTGCCAGGAAAGCCTCTCATGATTTAGCAAACTGCTGTTATAAAGCTGGCCAGAATGCCAACTGTCAAAAAATGGGGGAAATTACTCTTTCAGGCCTCTCCCGAGCTTGGAAAAGAAATACAAGTAATTCTCAGGTTGTGACAGCAATTGGAGCCAGATTTTCCATTGCTATCACATGAGCACAGGCATGTGAGGGAATCCTGGCAGTTCCAGTTGCCACTGCAACTCTAGGACCCCGTGGGTCTTTAAGTGAGGACCTCATGTGATTGTGATGTGGGAAGAAATAGGAGTCCCAGGCAAGCAGGCTAGCAGGTGAGAACTGGCCTAAAAACCCCAGCAGAGTTTCTGCCTAAGATTCCCACTCATTTCCTAGGCTGAGGCCTTAACCCCTACACCAAAATGTCTCTCACGCAAGATCTTCTATCTCAGTTTTCTATTTTCTATATAGTTTATGTCTACTCTAGACAGAGCTTTCAAAAAGCCTATAACACTATCTTTCCATCTTTCTCTGTTCAAACGGCCTATATATCACTATATATCTTTTCTCTATTCCTAAACTCTACATTTCACTAATCCTAATCTCCATGTGTACCTAGTGCTACTCTCTCTCTCCGTCCCCCCATCATCTATTTAGCTAGGTAGCTGTCTCCAATCATTTCCTATAAAGTTCAGTGTGTCTTTTATCTTTCTTCTCTTATCTGCTCCAGCAAGACCATCCTGAGAATCTCCTTGTTGTTTTGCACAGATGTGAGCAATCTGGAAGGGAAATGTTGGCCTGGGTTTCTCTGAGCAATCAGGCCAGGATCCATTTTTAAGAAGGGTTTTCTTCCAGTTAGCCGAAGAGACACAATTTCCAAACAGGAATGTGTATAAGAATCCCTTGATAGAAAGAAAGAGGGAAGGCATACACTGTATGATCTAATTTTTTTTTTCAATTTCTTGTTTATTGCTGATTTAATATTGTTTTGGTGTGTTTTGAATATATTAAACTTCTAATTAAAAAAAAAAAGAGTGTCGGGCAGAAACGCCTTTGTGTGCCAGTGCATACTACCGTTCTTTTTAAAATGCTTTCAAAGATTCTTTGAAAAGTATATTAGTTTTTTGAGGGGAAGAGGCCTATTGTTTTTACCGAACTGTAAGAAGACATACTAGCCTGTGAAGAAAATACATTGTACATATTTCTAATTTCATGAGCCTAGCCCAGGGGTAGGCAACCCAAAACACTCAAAGAGCCACTTGGACCCGTTTCCCACCAAAAACAAAACACCGGGAGCCGCAAAACCCTTTTGATATCTAAAATGAAGATAACACTGCATATATCCTTTTTTACCTTTATTATAGGTGTGTGTGTGTGTGCGCGCGCGTGTGTGTGTTTGTATGTATGTATGTGTGTGTGTACACACACACACACACACACACTAAAAAAAAAAAGTAAAAATATGACTCTTGGGAATATCCATACTATTAAAACAATGATCACCAAGAGAATGCTTTAAGAGAATAAAATTACATACACACACAGGTAAAAAAAAGGATATATGCAGTGTTATCTTCATTTTAGATGTCAAAAGGGTCTCTCTCTCTCTCTGTCTCTCTCCCTCTCTATCTGCCCTTGGTCTGCCACTCCTCTTCCCCCACTCTCTCTCTCTCTCTCTCTCTCTCTCTCTCTCTCTCTCTCTCTCTCTCTCTCTCTCTCTCTCTCTCCCCCTCCCTCCCTCCCTCCCTCCCTCCCTCTCTCTTTCTCTCTCTCTCTTTCTCCCCTCCCTCCTATCTGCTGCTCACCTGGCAAGCTTCAAGCTATTGTCCAACAAGATCAGGGGTAAGCAACCTCGTCTCTTTCATGACTCATGGACTTCAACTCCCAGAATTCCTGAGTCAGCCTAGCTGGGCTAGCTAGCTCTCTCCTGCCCTTCCTGCTTCCTGCAGAGACGCAGCAAAGGGAGGAGCTCCGCCCAGGAAGCTTTTCAGCTCCTCGGAGAACACTGTGAGTACACTCTGTTTTACACATACACATACACACACACACAAAAACACAAACACACACACAGAGAGAGAGAGAGAGAGAGAGAGAGAAGCAAGGAAGTGCAATTGCCTCTCTCTGTCTCTGTCTCTCTCTGCAAAGGCAGAGGAGGCTGGGAGCCACAGGGGAAGGCTCAAAGAGCCGCATGCGGCTCCGGAGCCGCAGGTTGCCGACCTGTGGCCTAGCCCTAGCTCAGGGGTAGGCAACCTTGGCTCTTTTATGACTATATAATGCATTTGCTTTAGCTGCTTTGGATAGGTTGTGACAGCCTGTATAAAGCCAATGAGGAAAAGACGGAAGGTAAATTTGCAATGGCATTAGGGAAGATAAAGAAAGAATATTAACTATTTTAAGATATTTCCACTGTACCTGTGTGCACGAGATACAGCCTCTTTGCAAAGTAGTGCAAATAAATTACCATTGTTTTCTCTTGGACCTTTTGGTGGTGATTCCTTATTTAAATTGGACAGCAAATCCAACAGTTTGTTTTACAAACCCCACAGACTGCCTAATGTGGGAAATATACAGCTGATTATGCAGGAGATGATCCACTCAGTGAAAGTGAAACAAATGTTTGGAGTGCGGCAAAAGGTTTACTCAGAGTAGCTCCCTTATGGTTCATGGAAGGACCCATACTAGAGAGAAGCTCTATTAGATCAGGGCTTTTCAACCAGTGTTACGGGTACCACCTGTGGTACATTGGCACATGGCAGTTGGTACACGAGCATCCTAGAAAAGTGGTAGTGGGGGAGGGGAATGAGCTGAACCGGTGGCAGGACCGCACAAGCCTGAGCGAGAGATGGCTGGAGCTGCAGGGCTGTCAGGGCTCAGCGGAAGCACCAGGATCAGCGCTAGGCTCCAGCTGGAGCTTGACACTGATCCTGGTACTTCTGCTGAGCCCAGAAGAAGCACAAATCAGCTGGAATATTGCAGCATCTCCAGGGTCTTGTGATTTACATTCAGATGCTTGGCAACTGATTCATATTTATCACAGTGTCCCAGGGTCATGTGAAGTGACCAAAACCTGCTGCAACCACCCAGCAGATGGTGGGAATAAAAACCAAACACCCTCCCCCCACCCCCGCTGCCAGTCCTCTACAGAAATACTCACAACAATGGAAACCTCAGACAGCAGGAAGAGCGCTGCCAGGTGCGCAGGCAAGTGTCTTGCTCAGCTATGCCTTGGGGGGCACTTTTTTCAGTGCCATTGTAACTTCAAACAGTCACTAAGTGAACTGTTGTAAATCGAGGACTACCTGTACTTTATCACTTTTTTCCTTTTTGTTTTTTTTTTTTGTCATCAGGTTTTTGACACCTTGTTAGGCGACTGGTGGTACTCGGATATTGCCATATCCTAAAAGTGGTACAATGTGTGAAAAGGTTGAAAAGCCCTGTACTAGATGACCCAATGTGACAAAGATTTAGCATGCACACTAATATGGTAAGATACAAGAGGACTCATGCAGAAGAGAAATCATATGAGTGCCCAGATTGTGGGAAAGGTTTCAGTTGGGATTCCCTCCTGGTACAGCAGCGGAGGAATCACACAGGAGAGAAAACATATGAGTGTCCTGATTGTGGGGAAAAAATTTCTTGGAAATCTGTCCTGGTGAAACATCAAAGGACTCACACAGGAGAGAAACCATATAAATGTCATCATTGTGGGGAAAGTTTTAGTCAGAATTCCTACCTGGTGAAAGAGGGAATAACATTAGAAGATAAACAATTGGTTATTCAGATTAAAAATCAGAGTCAGGCCCATATAAAAAGAATTTACAATGTTTTATTAGAGTTAGACTCGGAAACAGAATTGGTTAAAGATTGTATGATTAAATGGGCTCAAAATATACAGGAACCGATTTCATTGGATTTATGGGAGACAATTTGGACTAGAAATGTTAAATTTACACAAGCTCAAAATTTGAGAGAAAATTTTTATAAAATGTTTTACAGATGGCATTTAGATCCTAAAAAATTATCTTGTATGTATCCTAACATACAGCCCAAATGTTGGAGATGTGGCAATAAAGATGCGACATATTTTCATATTTGGTGGAATTGTAAAAAGGTAAAGGCATTTTGGATTATGATTTGGTGGAACATTCAAAAGATTTTTAGAAGGAAGATAAAGTTTACTCCTCAACTATTTTTATTGGGTATCTTTGTGGATTTAAATGATAAAGAAACTATTTTGATGTTGAATTTATTAACTGCCGCAAGGTTATTAATAGGTTTATATTGGAAGAAAGATTCTTTGCCTACTTTAGAAGAATGGGTATTTAAAGTATCTAGTTTTGCAGAGATGGCAAAAATTTCTGCCTATTTAAAGGATCATACAAGAAAGATATATCACTGTATGGAGAAGATGGATAGATTATATTCAGAAAAAGTATGGAACTAAAAAGTTTCATTTATTTTATGAATGAATATTATAGTAAATATTACAGAGAATTGTCTTATAGGCTATTGGAGTTAAAGGTTAAGTATGATAATTTATTTTCCTTTTTTTATTATTATTTTTTCTTTTTTTCTTTTTTCTTTTTCTTTTTCTTTTCTTTTTTCTTATTATTATAAATCCTTTTAATTATTAACCCGTTTCCAGGATAATTCCAAATTGATGAAACATCAGAAGAGAAAAACCATATGAGTGTCATCATTATGGGGAAAGGTTTAGTCAGAATTCCTACCTGGTGAAACACCAGAGGACTCACACGGGAGAGAAACCCTATGAGTGTCCAGATTGTGGGAAAAGTTTCAGTCAGAGATAACTACCTGGTAATACACCAGAGGACTCACACATGAGAGAAACTGTATGAATGCCAAGATTGTGGGAAAGGTTTCAGTTCCAATTCCAACCTGGTGAAACATCAGAGGAGTCACACAGGAGAAAAGCCACATGAATGTCCAGATTGTGGGAAAGATTTCAGTAATAGGTCTAGCCTTATAAATCATGTAAGTTTACACATAGTGGAGTGACTCTGTAATTCTACAATGCTATAAAGCACAGTGGGGTGATATATTAATTCTACGTATTATTGGTGTAATAAAGAAGAGCTTTAAAGGTGATGACAAGCATCTTCAATTTCACCTGTAAAGATATGAATCCAGTGCAGCTCGCACCATAAAGATGTTACATGGGCAACCTAGAGCCCCATTACTGTATGCGCTGCTGCGTTCAGGACCGGTTGAAGTTTCTGGGTGGCCCAGTGCCATAATCCAAACAGGAGGTGATCAAGGCGTGATTGACCCATGTGCAGGACCCCTTCTTGCCAAGTATCTGAAAGAAATTATAGCTGAAGGAGTAAAGAAGGCTGTACCTAAGAACCAAAATTTGACGAAAGCCTTCGACCTAAGACAATGGAAGGAGGAGGCACCTAGTGTATTTCTCCAATGACTGAAAGATCAAATGAGAAAATATTTAGGCATTGATTTTATGGTTCTGATAGATGAGACCAGTTAAATCAGAACTCTGAGGCTTGAGTTTTCCTCTAAGAACATGTTTATTGGTTATAAAATATTGGCACGGTCAAAAGTGAAACCAAGTCTGAAATTCCCTCCAGAGAGTTACACTATTACAAAGTTAAACTTCTCACCTCAGTACTATGTAATCAACTACGTTACCCAACAGAATAATTTGGTGTGCTTTCTAACAGAAAGCTCAATCCCTCAGTCTAACCGGCAGCAATGACCTTGGTTCCCACGGGACAGAGTAATGTTTAGGCTAGCAGGAAACCTCCATTTCCCTCCTCCCATTCTTGTGGCAATCAAAAATGAGCAAGATGGCTTTAGCCAGATTCGTTGTAGAGTTGACAATTGATCCAGATAATCCAGGAGGGGAAGGGATTTTGAAAATAAATTTTGTGACTAAGTCATGGTCTGATGTACAGAAAAAGATTCAGAAAACAGGGATGGGCGGAAAAGCCTACGGATGACCTATTGAAGGAAGTCCAAAAGGTCTATGTTAGAAGAGATGATGAGAAGCAGAAACAACAAGCAAAAATTATGGTCACTACAATGGAACAAATACCACAAAAGAAGCCAGAGGAGCAGTTAAATATGTGGGGAGAGGCAGGGGCTTTATTTTGCCCCTGGTAAACATACAAGTCGGATCCCATCAGGAACCAATAGTATTCCTGGTGGATACTGGAGCCGGTTGAACATGTTTAAATTATATACCCCAAGATCTAAAATTTTCCAGCCGAACTGCTGTTATATCAGGTGTTAAAGGGGAAGGCTTCCGCGTGAAAGAATTTGAACCAGTCAAAATGAAACTCCAAGGGAAAGAAATCATAGAAATAAGGCCTCTTTATATATCTGAGGCAGGCACCTGTCTATTGGGAAGAGATGTAATTATATTGTTAGGACTGGAAATAAAAACAGAAAATAGGCCAAATTCTAAATTTGAAAGTCAAATTGAGATAGCTAAATTAACAGAAGAAGACGAAAAAGATATTGATTCACAAGTGTGGGTCTGTGAAGTTCTCCGAGCTTGAAGGTTGGTTTCCGAATGTTTCGTTACCACGCTAGGTAACATCTTCAGCGATGTTTAGTGGATGTCTTTGTCAGTGTTCCACTTATATCAGGGCTTCAGGTGTGGGAGTGTCAAGTGAGGGTCTCGTGATGGGCCAAGTGTGAGTCATCAGAGAGAGGCTGGTGATGGGGAGCAAGGGGAGGCTGTTAGACAAAAACAATATGATATTTCACTTGAGAAGAGGATTGCAACCAGTTCTAGATGGACTATTGAGAGATGGACTTTTGGAACTATATATGTCTCCGTTTAACACTCCTGTTTTGCCAGACTGAAAACCTGATGGCACTTTTAGGATAGTTTTGGGCTTTCACAATCTGAACAGATTAGTGGAGATCACACATCCCGTGGTTCCAAACCCCTGCACTAGTTTAAGTATCATACCACAGTACCATACTTGGTTCAGTGTGGTTGACCTTAAAGATGCTTTCTGGAGCTGCCCCTTAAATGAAGGATCTAGAAACATGTTTGTATTCGAGTGGAAAAACCCAGAAACCCATCGGAAACAGCAATATAGACGGACTGCCCTTCCCCAAAGTTTATAAAATCACCAAATTTATTTGGGCAAGTTTTAGAACAGGTACTTGAACTTTTTTACCCAGGCAAAAGAATCAATTTGATACAATACGTGAATGATTTGTTAATTTCAGGAGAAAAGAAACCTGAAATTAAGAAAGCCACTGATAGCCTGTTCGATTTTCTGGGAGAACAAGGACTTAGAGTGTCCAAAACAAAATTACAGTATGTGGAGAAAGAAGTAAAATACCTGGGCCATTTAATCAGTGAGGGAAAGAGGAGAATAAGCCCAGAAAGAATACAAGGAATTACTTTACAACCATTGCCAAGAACAAAGAAGGAATTGAGAAAATTTGGGGGTCTTGTAGGATATTGCCAACTATGGTCAGTATTGAATCAGAAAGCAGGGAGACGGTTAACAGATGCCAGAATCCTTCGCTATGAAGCAATACGGATGGAGAAAGATGACTTGGTTTTAGCAGTGGAAAACTCAGTGAATCCAGCTCTGTTTCTGAGTGGTAACACTGAACCTAATGTGGAACTTGAACACCAGAGCGCTGAAATCATTGAATTGCAAACTAAGGTATGAGAAGATCTTAAGAAAACACCTCTCACCCAAGGCTTAAATTTATTAATTGATGGGTCAACTTGATGGATACAAGGAAAAAGACATAATGGATACACTATTGTGGATGGGGATGACAATTCTCTATTACAGTGATGGTGAACCTTTCAAAGACCGAGTGCCCAAAAACTGCCCCACCCCTGCTCTGCCCTCCTCTCTCCACCTGTCCCCCCGCTCCGTCCAATGCCCTGCCCACCTGCAGGGTCACCCACCGCCTCCATGGCCCTCCACAGCAGATCGCCCAGGTAGCCCTGCAGCACCATGGCGGCCATGCCCTATGCCCATATCTCACAGCATGATTTGCACGCGACGGGACATGAGGGCGGAGTCTTGTCCCTGTTGCCCGGCTGCCATATCCTTGGCTGCACTGCTCTATGTGGGCCATGCCCAGAGGCGACTCTCCTCGGGGGGGGCTGCTGGTGAGGAGCGGGCACGAGGAGAGGCAGGAATGGGGCAACGGCACACATGCCCATAGAGAGGGCTCCGAGTGCCGCCTCTGGCATGCGTGCCATAGGTTCACCACCACTGCTCTATTAGAAGCTGGACAGCTGCCACTAACTTGGTCAGCCCAAACCTGTGAACTGTATGCCCTAAACCAGTAGTAGGCAACCTTGGCTCTTTTATGACTAGTGGACTTACACAGTGGACTTACACAGACTCCAGTAGGTGTTGTACAAATGTTTGGAAAAATTTGGGCAGAAAGGGCTCTCCTTAATCCAAGAGGGAGATCTAGTGCATAGTGAACTTATTGTAGAAAACCTTGAGAATTTGTTATTACCAGAAGCAATAGTTGTAGTCCATGTAGACAGAGGGACACCAAAAACAAACTCTTATGAGGCAAAAGGTAATTCTCTGGCTGATTCGGAAGCTAAGGCAGCAGTCTTAACTGAGGAATACATTACAATGTTCCCACTGATACCTCAGTTGGAAGTACCAAAACAAATTCTTGTGTTTAGTACTAAGGAACAAGGGCAATTGGAACAATTGGGAGCCAGAAAAACAGAAAAAGGTGAATGGATGTTGCCTGATGGCAGGCAAATGTTAAATAAACAAATCACTAAAGAATTACTGGCAATTTTACACCAAGGGAGTCACTGGGGAATGCAAGCATTATGTGATGCCCTTTTTGCAAAAAATATGGATGTGTTGGAGGAGTCTATACAGTAGCACAAGAAATTTATGAGAAGTATTTAATCTGTAAAAACACAAACAGACAAAACCTCTGGCAAAATTGGTTTTTTCTTGCCTAAATGTAGAACCTTATTTTTTTTCACCATTGAATTTCATTTTGTTAGATAGCGCCCAGTATTCAAGTCTGTCCAGATCCTCCTGTATCTTAAGCCTGTCTTCTGGAGTGTTGGCTATTCCTGCCAGTTTGGTGTTGTCTACACATTTAATGAGTTCCACATCTATCCCCTCGTCCAAGTCGTTGATGAAGACGTTGAAGAGCACTGGGCCCACAACAGAGCCCCGGGGATTGTTGCCTGATGGCACATTGTGTTCCCCCCACCGATGTTTTCTCTTGGTTTAGTTCCTGCAAAAGAGTCTCCTGGCTCAGTTGCAGTGACGATGAGGGCGTCCAGCGAGACCTGCGAGGAAACTCTAGGGCAGGGGCAGGCAACCTGGGCTCTTTTATGACTCGTGGACTTCAACTCCCAGAATTCCTGAGCCAGCATGGCTCAGCTTGGAAACCTTTCCCTTTCCCCTCAGCATGGCTGGCTCAGGAATTCTGGGAGTTGAAGTCCACGAGTCATACTAGTTGCCTACCGCTGCTCTAGGGCTAGGTGGCCCTGGAGAAAAGTTATTTATGTGGCCGCTAAGAGTAAAAAACGACTTTTAATTAAAAAAAAATCATAGAAACCCCATTAACAGAATGAGCGTATTTCCAGACTTATGCCATTAAGTGGAGCTCTTAAACAACACCAGTTGCTGGAAAACCGTCAATCTAGCGGTATTGTGAGGCCGCGGCTGAGAATCCGAGGCAGCGAAAGAGTTAAAACCATCGAGCCTTGCTAGAAAGGATGTCGAAGAGAGGAGAAAGACAGAGGAACTTCCTCTTCCGGCTCACTCTTTGGAGGAGTGAGGCGTGGCGGGTGGCAATCCTAAACTTCCCAGGGTCGAAGCAGCTTCTGGAAGGTGAGTTAAAGGCAGGTCGGAGGAGAAGCCGGGAGCAAATAGAGCTGCCTTGTTTCCTCTGCGAGGTAAATGGAGAGAAGCAACTAGGCTGAAACATGACCGCTGCTACTGTATATTGTTTGTGTTCCCAAACCTTATTACACTTAAAGCTGCATGATTTAAAACTTCTGTCTGTAATTTTCTGTTGGGAAATGGGGAAAGACTAAAATTTAAAGGCCTGGAGGCGAAAACATATGAAGAAAGGTTGCAGGATTTGGGTATGGCTAGTCTGGAGAAAAGGAGGATTAGGGGCGGGACATGATTGCAGTATTCCAGTATTTGAGGGACTACCACAACAAAGAGGGGAGGGGGTCAGCTTATTTTCCAAAACACCAGAAGGCAAGATAAGAAAAAATAGGTGGAAACTAATCAAGGAGAGAAGCAACCTGGAACTAAGGAGAAATTTCCTAACAGTGAGAACAATTAACCAGTGGAACGACTTGTCTCCAGAAGATGTAATAAAAATAAAAATAAAAAAGTTGGAAGGGACCTTGGAGGTCATCTAGTCCAACCCCCTGCTTCTGGAGGCAAGTTGTTCCACTGGTTAATTGTTCTAACTGTCAGGAAGTTTATCCTTAGTTCTAGGTTGCTTCTCTCCTTGATTAATTTCCATGTGTTGCTTCTTCTCCTGCCTTCAGGCGCTTTGGAGAATAGCTTGACTCCCTCTTCTTTGTGGCAATCCCTGAGATATTGGAACAGTGCTATCATGTCCCCCCTCGTCCTTCTCTTCATTAAACTAGACATACCCAATTCCAGCAACCATTCCTTATATGTTTTTGCCTCCAGTCCTCTGATCATCTTTGTTGCTCTTCTCTGTACTCTTTCCAGAGTCTCAACATGTTTTTTACATCGTGGTGACCAAAACTGGATACAGTATTCCAAGTGCGGCCTTATGGCATTGTAAAGTGGTATTAACCCTTCACATCATCTTGATTCTATCCTGTTAATGCAGCCTAACACTGTGTTGGCTTTTTTTGGCAGCTGCAGCACACTGCTGGCTCATATCTAAGTGATTGTCCACTAGGACTCTGAGATCCCTCTCACAGTTGCTACTGTTGAGCAAGGTACCACCTATACTATGCCTGTTCTTTTGGTTTTTCTTGCCTAAATCTAGAACTTTACTTTTTTTACCATTAAATTTCATTTTGTTAGATAGCGCCCAGTGTTCAAGTCTATCCAGATCCTCCTGTATCTTAAGACTATCTTCTGGAGTGTTGGCTATTCCTGCCAGCTTGGTGTCGTCTGCAAATTTGATGAATTTCCCATCTATCCCCTCGTCCAAATCGTTGATGAAGATGTTGAAGAGCACTGGGCCTAGAACAGAGCCCTGGGGCACCCCACTACACACTTCCCTCCATGTAGATGCGGTTCCATTGAGGACCACACACTGAGTAGGGCCAGTCAGCCAGCTACGAATCCATCTGGTGGTGATGATGTCTAACCCACATTTTTCTATCTTATCAATGTGAATGCTCGAACACTGGAAGTTTTTAAGAAGAGACTGGGCAGTCACTTGTCTGAAATGGTACAGGACACAGGTGTCAAACTCACCATGTCATATGATGTGTCGCAACATATCGTGACTTTTTTTACATTGCCAGAGCTGGGGTGGGTGCGGCCTCCGTATGATGCAACTGGCCTGCGGTCGGCAGTTTGACATCCCTGGTATAGGGTCTCCTGCTTGAGCTGGGATTTGGGTTAGAAGCCCCACAAGATCCTTTTCAGCTCTATTTTATTTCATATACGCATGTATATGCACACAGAAATACATAAATTCTTAGGTGCCTATTCCTGTGGCATATCTGTGCATATATATGTCATCTTTCCAAGCCAAAAAGAGATTTTTTATCATTTAATCAATACTTGAATTTGAATTTTCCTAGTCTTGTATATGCCAAATGAGTCATGATTAATGTTAGAGGTTAAACTAGAATTTTGATGTTTTCATGGTAATATATGGGCTTGTTTTTTTGCTGCTTTCACATATCCTGCACTGATCTGTTAAACAATAATGAAACTAATCCATTAATATGAATCTTACAGATAAAGAGGATGCCAAGAAGAGCGCTCTGCACAACAGAGAATGAAAAGCAGCATTAAAATGCAAGACAAACCATCAATCAAAACCTTTCCCACTTCCTCCAGAAATTTTGAAAACTCTTCTCCTTTCTCATCAGGTGAGAGACAAGGGAGAGAATAACAAGAACAAAGTCTTGAGCTGGAAAAACAGAGTACGTGCAACTCAAGGAAACATTGCATGAAAAGTCAAGGGGGATAATATCCAAATTTTTAAAAAGTGGGAATAACTGGAAGTCGGTGGGAAGGAAAAGGTCCCTTGAATAGCCAAAATTGGCAGGCAATAACTTTCAGGAAGTTAAGAATGAATTCATTCAACGTCCAAGTAAGTGATTAGAAACACTTTTGACGACCTCAAGAATCCAAGAATTGGAAAAACCTCACAGACTGCCTAATGTGGGGAAAATAGAGGTTGCAGATCACAAGTGATTACGCACAAGAAGATCTACCTAGTGAAAAGCGATACAGATATTTGGAGTGCAGCTTAATGTTTACACAGAATAGCTCACTCATGATTCATAGAGTGACCCATACCAGAGAAAAGCGCTACCAATGCTCCCAATGTGGCAAAAGATTTAGCATACAGACTGACATGGTGAGACACAAGAGCACTCACACAGGAAAGAAACCATATGAGTGCCCAGATTGTGGGAAAGGTTTTAGTTGGAATTCCCTCCTTGTGGAACATCAGAGGATTCACACAGGAGAGAAACCATATGAGTGTCCTGATTGTGGGAAAGATTTCTCTCGGAAATCTGACCTGGTTAAACATCAGTGGACTCACACGGGAGAGAAACCATATAAGTGTCCAGACTGTGGGAAGAGTTTCACTCAGAATTCCTACCTGATGATACACCAGAGGACTCACACGGGAGAGAAACCGTATCAGTGTTCAGACTGTGGGAAAGGTTTCAGTCAGAATTCTGACCTGGTAAAACATCAAAGGATTCACACAGGAGAGAAACCATTTAAATGTCATGATTGTGGGAAATGTTTCAGTCGAAATTCCTACCTGGCAAAACATGAGATGGCTCACATGAGAGAGAAACCATATAAATGTGATTGTGGGAAAGCGTGTAGTTCTAATTCTGACTTGGTGAAACATCAGAGGACTCACACAGGAGAGAAACCATATAAATGTGATTGTGGGAAAATTTTCCAACGGAATTCTCACCTGGTGGTACACCAGAGAACTCACACTGAGTACAAACGGTATCAGTGTTTGGATTGTGGGAAAAGCTTCATTCGGAATTCCAATTTGGTGTTTCACCAGAAGACTCACATGGGAGAGAAACTGTATGAGTGTGCAGAATGTCGAGAAAGTTTCAATTGCAAATCTGAACTGGTGAAGCACCAGAAGACACACAAAGTAGAAAAACCATATGAATGCCAAGATTGTGGGAAAGGTTTCAGTTCAAATTCTCACCTGGTGGAACATCAAAGGATTCATACAGGATACAAACCTTATAAGTGTCTGGATTGTGGGAAGAGTTTCATTCAGAATTCCAAGCTGGTGAGACACCAGAGAACTCACACAGGAGAGAAACCATATGAATGTCTATATTGTGGGAAAAGTTTTAGTCAGCATTCCAACCTGGTGATACACGAGAGAACTCACACAGGAGAAAAACCATATCAGTGTCCAGATTGTGGAAAAAGTTTCAGTCAAAATTCCTACCTGGTGAAACACCAGAGGACTCATATGGGAGAGAAACCCTATGAATGTTCAGATTGTGGGAAAGATTTCACTCACAATTCCGACTTGGTTAAACATCAGAGGACTCACACAGGAGAGAAACCATATAAATGTCCAGATTGTGGGAAAACTTTCCGTCACAGTTACTATCTGGTGATACATCAGAGGATTCACACAGGAGAGAAACCGTATGAGTGCCAAGATTGTAGGAAAAGTTTCAGTTGCAATTCTTACCTGGTGGAGCATCAGAGGACTCACACAGGAGAGAAACCATATGAGTGTCCAGAATGTGGGAAAAGTTTCATTCAATATTCCAAGCTGGTGAGACACCAGAGAACTCACACAGGAGAAAACCCATATGAGTGTCTGAAGTGTGGGAAAAGTTTCATTCGAAATTGCGACTTGGTGATGCACCAGAGGACTCATACAGGAGAAAAACCATATGAGTGTGTCGAATGTGGGAAGAGTTTCAGTCGGAATTCCAGTCTGGTGATACACTGGAGGACTCATACAGGAGAGAAACCGTATGAATGTCCAGATTGTGGGAAAGAGTTCAGTAGTAGATCTAGCCTTATAAATCACGTTAGGTTACACATAGGGGAGTAACTGTTCAAACATCCAGATTGTAGATAATTTTTTGCACAAAATTCCTTATAACACACAAGAAGTTCCACAAAAGGCAAAATTTGAACTGTGTGGAGGAATCTTGTATTTCATTTCTCATCAGATATTGAATGTCCAGCTGAGAAACTAATCATTTAATTTCTTGAATGATTCTTTTTAGTGGAATATGTCTTAGTATCAAAAACGAGGGAGAAGAATGGAATGGGATGGAATGGAATGGAATAGAATAGAATAGAATAGAATAGAATAACAGTTGGAAGGGACCTTGTATGCTATCGGCTGCTGCATGCAGGGAAACAAAAGTTTGTGGGGGGGGGGAAAGGTCAATCAATTCCAACTTAGCAAGATCTTTTTTTTCCCGCATGAAGTTGGAATTGATTGATTGACCTTCCCCCCCCCCCCCCAAACTTCTTTTGTGGCAGCGGAGGAGCATGAAGGAGAAATGGGACCAGGCTGAAAGTCAGGTAAGCAAAGACATGCAATTTCTGGGGGAAGCAAGGGCATCTGGGTGCTGGTATGGCAAGCTCTACAGCTCCATGGGGAAGGGACAGCCGTCATGGGCACTGATGACAGGACACCCGCTCATTTCAGCACTCTCCCTCCCCGAGCCTCTGGCGCTCCACCTATCGCTTTGCTGGCTCTGTGGGCAAAGCTGCAAAGAGGGCCAGGTGGCCGAAAGCGCCAGCAATTTAGCTAAAAGATATGAAGAACGGTTGCTGGAATTGGGTATGTCTAGTTTAATGAAGAGAAGGATGAGGGGGGACATGATAGCAGTCTTCCAGTATCTCAAGGGCTGCCACAAAGAAGAGGAAGTCAAGCTATTCTCCAAAGTGCCTGAAGGCAGGGCAAGAAGCAAAGGGATGGAAACTAATCAAGAAGAGAAGCAACCTGGAACTAAGGAGAAACTTCCTGACAGTTAGAACAATTAACCAGTGGAACAACCTGCCTCCAGAAGCGGTGAATGCTCCAACACTGGAAGCTTTTAAGAAGAGACTGGACAGCCATTTGTCCAAAATGGTATAGGGTTTCCTGCCTGAGCAGGGGTTGGACTAGATGACCTCCAAGATCCCTTCCAACATCATCGTCATTATTATTATTATTATTAAACTTCTGGTTCACCCATAAGAGGATGGAGCCATGGGGGGTGGCAGTCGTGCCCTTCCCAGGGTTCAACAGCAGATGGAAGGTGAATCGAGGTCAGGTCGGAGAAGAAGCCAGGAGCAAATAGAGCTGTTTGTAGAAGCAGAGAATCAGCTTGGCTGAAAAATATTCCTACCTACCCGAGATTTTATTCCACCTGTTCTGTGGGCTTTAAAACTGGTGCCTGCAATTTTCTGCTGGTTGGATGTCTCCTCCAAGTTAAGATTGATTCCTTGAGGTTTTATGGACATGTTGCTTTCTTGGCAACAATATGGGACTGATCTGCCACTGGTCTCTTCAGGGATTTTACTTTCTTTTACTTCTATGTTTAGCTAACAAGCACAGTATTTCCTATTGGAGCCCCATCAGGGTATTAACTAGGTTCAACTGTGCTTAGGCCAGCACTTTCTTTAAAATAGCTGTTGGGATCTTGGGTGATATTCAATTGTATATGCAGTCCTTGCTTACCATTTGTTCCCTGAGCCTTCAAAATTTCTATGGCATTTTAAAACCAGACGTACATCTGGTCCACAAATCTGGCCATCGTGACACTTCTTCAACACTGAAGGTGCAGGAAAAGGAGTTGCATCAATTTGGGTGCTGCCAACCGGTGCACTTTTATGATCCCATTTGTGACCCTCCCAGCCAGCTTCTGACAAGGGGATGCTGGCGAGAGGTTGCCAGTTACAATCACATGAAAGTGCCTTTAAGAACCCGCAGCGATTAGCTTAACAATGGCAGAGGAGCAGATGTAAGTTGGCATGTCATGTGACATCATGCTTAATGATCGGACTACTTAGTGAGACAGAAACCAGTCTCCATTGTGGTCAGTAAGTGAGGACTACTTGAATGGGGATGTCATCAGAGGGGTTTGGGGCAGTATTTTCTGCCCTTATTGGGAGCTGAGGGTTTCCACCGGCAAAATTGATGCTTCAGATCTTGCAAAGGCTTTAGGCATCATTTCATCAGTTAAAGCCCCCACATCTCTAAAATTACCTCAGAAGGTTTGACAGTAACAATTTTGCAATACTTTTAAGGCTAAAATACATATGGGATTTCTACATATATACATTTGTGGGCATGTATATTTCTCACAGTGCATATATCTGCATCTATAATATATCAGCTTATCCCCAGAACCCCCAGATATACAGGGCATAGAGAATGTCTACATACTCCTTGTAAAATGCCAGATTTTTGGGATGTAAGTAAATCAGACCCAAGACAAATCACCTCAGAATTTTTCCACCTTTAATATAACTTAAAAGTTGTACAATTCAATTGAAAAACAAATGTTTTATGAGGAAAAGTAACAATAATAAACTTTCAATAACATAGTTTCATAAAGATGTGCGCCATTAAACTAATTATTTCTTGAAGCACTTTTTCATTTTATCACAACATGCAGACGTTTGAGGTAGGAGCCTATCAGCCTAGCACATCTTGCCTTGGGAATCTGTGCCCACTCTTCCTTGCAAATCGCTCCAAATCTGTCAGGTTGTGAGGTTCACCCCACACATTTTCAGTTGGATTTAAGTCCAGGCTGTAGCTGGGCCATTCCAAAACTTTCATCTTCCTCTGGTGAGGCCATTGTTTTATTGATATGGAAGTATGCTCTGGGTCATTGAATGGCAAAATTATTCTTCATCTTCCGGATTCTGGTAGAGACTTGAAGGTTTTTTGCCCAAATTGACTGATATTTAGAACTGTTCATAATTTCCTTCACCTTGACTAAAGCTCCAGTTGCAACTGAGGAACAGCAGCCTCAAAGCATAAAGCCGCCACCACCATTGTTCTCTAGAGCAGTGGTTCTCAACCTGTGGGTCGGGACCCCACTTGGGGTCGAACAACCATTTCACAGGGGTCACCAAACAACGCAGTCCGCCATTTTTTCCCCCTTTTCCTTAGCTGTGCTACTCTCTTTTATTCTATTGGCTTTTGAAAGCCAATAGAATAGACTCTCTTGAATAGAGTCTAATTCTATTGGCTTTCAAAAGCCAATAGGAATTGTCCAGGCTGTCTCTGCCCTGCTGAGCCCGCCAAAAGTCCCATTCTGCAAACGGTGCTGCACCAATTGAGTAGTCCTCAACTTACGACCGGTTGAATAGTCCGAGTTACGACCGGTTGGGGGTCGCGGCATTAAAAAGTTAGAACCACTGCTCTAGAGCCACGAGAACCCGTTCATACAATTGTAGGATTTAGACAGGTTTTGATCTCCCCTAAAACCACTCTTGCGAAAAGGCGGGAAGCTTTGGAACTTCTTCCTTCAAACTGGCTTCCTCCAAGTGTTTTGCTCAATCTGCTTGCGGAATAATAAGGCTGAAATGTAACCAGGCTGGGACTTGGGAAGACTGCTCTGAGCAATTCTGCTCTCTAGTGAGATTTAGCACAAGAATGCAGATGGAAAAATAATATATCCTATCTGGATGTGTTTGGAAGCAATGTGGGTGGGCACTTCAATGTTTTGTCCTGTATTTCATTCCCGGTACTCCTCAACTTACAACCACAACTGAGCCCAAAACTTCTCTTATAAATGTGAAAACTGGTGATAAGTCACTTTTTTCAGTGCTGTTGTAACTTCGAACAGTCACTAAACAAACTGTTGTAAATCAAGGATTGCCTGTAATTCTATTAATGGGATGAAGCTGGCAATCATTTAAGGCTGCACATACAAACAAGACCGTTGTCAACTTTTATGATGGAGCACCAGCTAATCTTAGGAAGTAAAGTAGAGTCAGGCTTCACTCTTAGAGCTTCCCTCAGCTGCATAGGAAGTGGAGTCAGGCTTCACCCTTAGAGCTTCCCTCAGCTGCAAAGGCAGTTTTGGGGCATTATCCTGCACCCCCCAAGAGAACTGTCTGGAAGAGTCTCCACTGCTACCCAAAGCAGGTGCGCTTACTTGTTGCCTTGATGGCACATTGTGTTCCCACCTATGGGTGCTTTCCCTTGAAAAGAAACCCCTGGCTCAGTTTCAGTGACAATCAGGTCGTCCCTGTGAAATCGATGACCGACTAGGGCTACATGGTCCTTGTTGAAAAGTGATGGATGTGGTGGCTAAGAATGGAAAATGGCTCTTAATTAAAACGTGTTAGAAACGCCAGTCAGAATGAGCGAATTTTCACCCTTACGTCACTTGTTGTTGTTAATTGCGAAGTCGTGTCCGACCCGTCGCGACCCCATGGACAATGTTCCTCCAGGTCTTCCTGTCCTCTACCATCTTCTGGAGTCCATTTAAATTCACACCTACTGCTTCAGTGACTCCATCCAGCCATCTCATTCTCTGTCGTCCCCTTCTTCTATTGCCCTCAATCTTTCCCAGCATTAGGCTCTTCTCCAGTGAATCCTTCCTTCTCATTAGGTGGCCAAAGTACTTGAGTTTCAACTTCAGGATCTGGCCTTCTAAGAGCAGTCGGGGTTGATCTCTTCTAGGACTGACCGGTTTGAACGCCTTGCCTTGAGTCCAAGGGACTCGCCAGGAGTACTTCTCCAGCACCATAGTTCAAAGGCTTCAATTCTTTGGTGCTAAGCCTTTCTTATGGTTCAACTTTCACAGCCATACATTGCAACTGGAAAAACCATGGCCTGGACTATACGCACTTTTGTTGGCAGGGTGATGTCTCTGCTTTTTAGTATGCTGTCTAGATTTGCCATAGCTTTCCTCCCCAGGAGCAAGCGTCTTTAATTTCTTGGCTGCAGTCCCCATCTGAGGTGATCTTGGAGCCCAGAAAAATAAAATCTGTCACTACCTCCATTTCTTCCCCATCTATTTGCCAGGAATTGAGAGGGC